TTCCTTGATTTTTTATATTTTTTAGTATCTAATACTGCTGTTGGTAATGTCAAAAACAATAAAGTTATTATAATATATAAAACAAAGAAAAACAGTGTCAATATTGATAACATTATTAAAAAAAAAAAAAAGTTTTTCTGGTATTTCAAGGAAAGGTGAGGTTGCAAGATCTACTAATTGATTCCATAGTGGTTAAGCATAGGCAGAGCCATCTGTGTGCAGAAACATTTAACAAAACAATAAGAAAGTGAACAAAACATTTTCCTGTTGGAATTGGGCTGAGAAACCAAACAGATGATAAAATTTTCCTTTTCCCATATTGTTTATTTCAGGAATTTGCGTGTCCTGGAGCTAGCAGGCGGGGTATCTGACAAGGTCCTTTGCAATGGCTTGTGGAACATCGACAAGAAGAGTGAGAAAGTCTTGGACATGGTCTTAAAGGACAATAAGGTATGATGCCAGAGTAGGATGTTTTAGTAGGGTTCGTCTTTTCTTTTCTTCTCTTTTCATTTATTCTATTTTTATTGTCATATTGCACCAATATTGTATTAAAGGATTTAAATTACTTAAATTTATATGATTAGAAAGAATTGTAACAGAAATGAGAAAAAAAAATGCAGAAGCACACCATTAAGCCTTAGGAATTCAAGCCTCTCTCTTTCTCTCACCTTGCAGGAAAATTCAAGCTGGCAATTAGCCCTCCCACACCTGGAGGTATTGCGGAACAACATGCTGCTCAAAAGCCAGAATGCGATGCGCATACCAGTTGGAGCCGTTGCCTTAGCCCTGCAGCCCAAGATGGAGACAGTCGAGACTCTTACTTACTGGAATACGTTTGACGCTGTGCTCTACCTGCTGGATATGGAAGCCAAGCACAAGGTAAAGCAGGATACATTTTCTTGAACACGATGGATGCCATTCTGTATCGTGAACGACAAACGAATCAAGTGGGGACGAGGGTTTGTCTCTCATTCTGCACAGGTTGTGTTGTTTGTAAAAGTGTGTATTTTGGGCCGTTAGCTGAGTTGGGCCCATTTGTTCCTCCTGTTATATATGGTCAGTCTTAAGTAGGAGGTATGAGTATCATTATTTATTATTTTTCTATTTTTATAATCAGTATAATTGTTGGTATTTGGTACTTGTTCTATCTTGATTAGTTTTCATGAAAAAAAATTGTATTTTTTTTTTTTTTTTTTTTTTTTTTCTCATATTTGAAACATGTTGACATACAAGTTCATATGTAAACAAGACTGTTTATATTTAATTTTCTTTGTGATGTTTTATAAACACAGCTAATTGTTTTATCAGAGATATTTATTTGATCTTTGGCACTATTTTTACTTCTCCCCCCCAGAATGGAGGTAATGGGAGCCGCAAGTTAAATGTGACCGTCCTGGCCGTGAATTGCCAAGACATGAATTTTGATCAGATCAAACGGGCAACAAAGACATGCCCCAAACTGTCATATATGAGACTCATGAACACAGAAAATATTAGGCCAAGTATACCCCTCCTGTGCTCAGTGAGTATCATGTGTTTTCTGCTAATGACCTGCACATCAGTATGTTGGGAATCATTTGATAATTTATCATTCAAGATATGTTTTTACCATATCAATCAGCCTTTGTATAGATAGTTAGTCTCCATTTTGCCACATTAGTAGCAATAATGAAGTGCATGAAACTAATCTCTTCCTCAGATTGCTCCGATGAAACAGGTAAAGAAGCTTGACCTGGAGGCAATGGCCCTCACAGACCTGGAGTTGACAGTGCTGCTGGCGGAAATGGCCAGCTTGGAGATCCTAAACCTCCGCGTCATGCCCCAGGACATTGTGCGGTTCAACCTCCCCGTCAATTATTTTGAGGGTGATGTCCCCGAGGAGGATGCAAAGGTGACACAGGGCCAGATCTTTGTCCTTGTTTCTCTTTCTCTATCAGTCTCTCTCTCTGCCACTGTTGTATAGTTTACTTTCCTGTGTTCAGAGACATAGTAGGAGGTATGTAAATAGGAAAGGTTTATTTTTTGTGAAATGGTGGTTAAGAAAAGAAAGAGGCTCTAAATTAGGATTTATAGTTTATCCAGGACATCATTTGATTTATTTTGACATAACCATTGGTTTTTTTTTTTTTTTTTACTTGCTTTTCATAGAAAAATATGATTGCCTTCTCTTTGTTTTGATGCTCATAAATTGCTGGGGATTTTTAAATGATTTGCAGTAGATCTTGTCCAAAAGATTTAAATTTGTAATCTAACCATTCCATCTCGGCCATTTACCCTCAGAAAATGTCCATGTTCCCGTCCATCAAGAACCTGACCCTAGAGTTCATGTCCAACAATGTTCAGGAGGAGTACAGCACGGACAAGATCGTCAATTTCCTCTCCGCTTTCCCCTGGGTTAAGGAACTGTACCTGAGCAACACTCTTCTAGCTCCACCAGCATTTTTGGCAAGTGTAGCACTTTTGGAGAAAGTGAGGAGGGGGGGGGGCATTAGGAGGTTGGAGAAAAATTATCGGGTTTGTTCATGGTTGGGGGTTGGGCTGGGAGGGGGAGGGGAAAGGGAAGGGAAAGGGGAGAGGAGGACAATTTTTATGGTTAGGAGGGTGATGTGAGGTCTGTTTGGGTGAGTGGATTGTGTTGGTTGGTGTTTTAGAGGGGAGGGGGAGTATTTTTACTGGAGAAAAGTGGTTGATTTCTGTGAATATATATATTTTTTTTCTCCTTTTCTTTTTCTTTTTCTTTTTTTTATATAAGTACTTTTTAATAAAAGTTAATGGAAGGACAGAGAAAATTATATATCTTTCTATTAACAAGTGTGTATGGTTTGCTATGTATTATTTCATAAGTTATTCCTAGCTGATTGCATCATTAAGATCTCTCACTTAAAGAGAATGAGATGTAGATTAACTTGGACAAACAGATTTCAAAATAATAGGTACCTCTATAAGAGTGAAAATAACAAAGAATTCCTGCTTTCTTGGGGAAGAAAGTGGAAATAATTTAAGCTAGTTGCAACTATCACTAGAAATGACACACAACACTGAATCCTTTCTCATACGCACAGGTCTATGGATGCATAGGAGGGTCCCTAGCTGTGTTAAAGAAACTGACACACCTGTCGGTAATCTCGTGCCATGAGGATGTGCCGCGTGAGCTACCTGCACACAGTGATGCTCTCCTCATGGATAGAGACATTGATTACAAACAGCTGATTCGCCATTGTACAGACGTGCCCGTCATGCTGATGGATCTTCAGGTGAGAGCAAATTGGAATGGGTGGTGTGTGTGTCTGTGTGCGTTTTCTGTGTATGCGCTTACACGGGTGCACAGCAGAATTTACTTCAGAATTGTTGTATATAATTTTGTTTGTGTATGATCATTGTCATAGATGATGTATCAAATGTTTTGTTCATTTCTTCAAAATCCAAATGTTTTGAAAACTACAACAGCCTTTTCTTGCAGGACGAAGTGACATTTAAGTACTTACGTGGATTAAAGAGCCTTGTGATCGACGAGTTTTACCTACACCGATACATGGATTACATGATACAATCGCTGAGATTATGTGGAGTCCATGTGTCTGTTTTATATCGTTCTGGAGTGAAGAAAGGACCCAATAGGGGTGAGTAGTTTTTTTTTCAATAATGTCTCATTTTGTCTTTGTGTGTCTCTTCTCTGTTTTCTCATTCTTTTCTTCTCTCTTTCTTTGTCTCTTTTACTCAATTACCCATTCTCTCTCTTCTCTCTGTTTCTCTTTTTTCTCTCTCTTCTCACATACCCCCTTCCCTCTCTTTTTTCTCTCTCTCTCTCTCTCTCTTCTCTCTCTCTCTCTCTCTCTCTCTCTCTCTCTCTCTCTCTCTCTCTCTCTCTCTCTCTCTTCTCTCTCTCTCTCTCCCCCCCCCCCCTCCCTCTCCTCCCCTCCTCCTCTCCTCTCCTTCCTCTCCTCTCCTCTCCTCTTCCTCTCCTCTCCTCTCCTCTCCTCTCCTCTCTCTCTCTCCCTCTCTCTCCCTCTCTCTCCCTCTCCTCTCCTCTCTCTCTCCTCTCCCTCTCCCTCTTCCTCTCCCCTCTCTCCTCTCCTCTCTCCCTCTCCTCTCCCCCTCTCTCTCCCTCTCCTCTCCCCCTCTCTCCTCTCCTCTCCCTCTCTCTCCCTCTCCTCTCCCCCTCTCTCTCCCTCTCTCTCCCCCTCTCTCTCCCTCTCCTCTCCCTCTCTCTCCCTCTCCTCTCCCCTCTCTCTCCCTCTCTCTCCCCTCTCCTCTCCCTCTCCTCTTCTCTCTCCTCTCCCCTCCTCTCCCTCTCCCCTCTCCTCTCCCTCTCCCCTCTCCCCTCTCCCCTCCCTCTCCCTCCCCTCCCTCTCTCCTTCCCTCTCTTCCCTCTCTCTCCCTCTTCCCTCGCCTCCCTCTCTCTTCCCTCCCTCCCTGCTTCCCCCCTGCTTCCCCCTCTCTCTTTCTCTTTCTTTTAACAAAGGCATCATTTGAAAGATTCATTCAATACATTAAAAGTTGATTCTTAATTAGTGTACTTGCAGCAAGGTATTTTCCCTTATTTAGTAATAATGTAATAATTTATCTGGTGTTTTTCTCCCCTCGAAGGTGCATATGACAAAGTTAAGATGATGAACCTCACCGAGATGGAAGAAAATGACGTACACGTTGTCAAGAAGTACGTCCACGTCAAGAAGTACAAAAAGGTTATACACTGATGCAGGGTTCTTCTGAAGATAATAGGATTATTGGCAGGTGTGTTATTGGGGTCTTTTGTTGGCTAAAATGAAGAGAGTGGTACTTTTTTATGTACTTTCTCTTCTTTTTTGAATTCCTAGGAAGTGTACTTATATTGAAAAAAAAAAAAATAAATGTATATATACTGAAGTAAAGTTCAGAATCAGAGGCCATATATGGAATGGTCTTTTTGAGTGTATATAGATTAATTTGTCAATCCAGGTAAACTTGACATTGAATTACTTTTTTTCTCTCTTTTGCAGTTGGGATATGGAAATTAATGC